GGAGGCGCTTATTATTATTTTTGCCCAAAGGGGCGCTTATTCGGTGGAGGCGCTTACTCAGGGGAGGCACTTATTCAAGTAAATACGGTAATAGCGCTCTGCGACGAATAAATTGTATCCTGTAGTTAAGTCCATGCTGTTGTCCAATAAATTTATCAACTTAAAAGAGAAGGGATCCCAGTAACCAATCGTGAACACTCTAATCCGATGCTATCATTAGATTATTTGTTTGATCGTTGGATTTCGGATGACGTTAACGGCGGAGTATCACTTAACCTGATTTAGGAGATGCTCGTCTTAGAAAAGTGTGAAACCAAGTATTAATTGCTGGTTTTCAATCATTCCAAAGAGAATGAAATAAAAGACATGGCGGCCATGTTGGATGTATAAAAAAATACACTAATGACGAATCTTTTGTTAAATTCGTGGAACAYGGCGATTGTAAAAACCATATTCAATAAAGATAATCATAAAAGAATTAGCCTGAAGTTGAATTTAAGATTTAATTAATGTTTTGTCATTTTGTAATAAGTTCATTTGTCATACAAGTTTGAAAGTTAAATCTTCATTATTTTTACAATACTACAGACGTTTTTGACAGCCTATTTTGCATACTGAATGACTATACGAGGATGCGCGGCGTGTCTAGTAAATGAGTATCCCTGCCAGTGCGCATGCTGCAAATGCCATAGCACCACTGACAATAGAAACCCCGGTGTTTGTCTCTTTCCAGTCGCACCAGTATTTGTCGTCAGGGGTGGAAGGCAAAGATGGTACCGTCCAATTTTTCACTTCTTTGAACTRCTCTTGATCGTTACACTTTTCGTCAGGGCAGCATTCAACCTTAGAAAAGAAGAAAAGAAGAAAAGAATAAATAAAGAAAGAAAATGCTAAGCCAGCTGATCAGTCATTCATTTGCTCCAAATGGTGGTGAAACGCTGACCGCCTGCTTGGTACTCAGCTCAATCAGAGTACCCGAAAGAAAACCTTAGGTAAGAGAGTTAACAGCACATCAAACAAACTGAATTTACATGTGGCGTCCACAGGGCTAAAACCATAGATTTGAATGACGATGGATTAACAGCGTACGCCACCTATGCTACCCAATATAACTAAAGGGTAACCAAAGATGGCGATCGTGGTTTGTAGTATTAATCTATATGGCGTTACCTGACATTGCGTAGCACCTCCACGGACGTTTTTACAAAATTTCTCTCCGTCTGGAGTGCAGAAAGAAGAGACTGTGCAGCTTTTGGCGTAGATTCTCTTTTTTTCCGTCAAGGAATAGTAGGAGAAGTAAGCACATCGATCAAGAGGTTTTTCTCCTTTTACTTGATACTCGGGTTTTGAACAGTTCTGAACTACGTTTCTCGTGTTACAATCTTCGAAAGAAGAACCACTGCCTTGAGCGCACAGCCAACAAAAGAGATCTTTAGATTCTATAAATAAAGAAATAATGCTCAAAAGAATGACACATGGTCTGAAATGGGACAACATTGCACCATAGCTGAAAAGCATTCCTAGTAAAGAAATGAATAATACTCAAGGGAATGACACATGGTCTGAAATGGGAAAACATTGCACCATAGCTGAAAAGCATWCCTAGTAAAGAAAGAAATAATACTAAAGGGAATGACACATGGTCTGAAATGGGAAAACATTGCACCATAGCTGAAAAGCATACCTAGTAAAGAAAGAAATAATACTCAAGGGAATGACACATGGTCTGAAATGGGAAAACATTGCACCATAGCTGAAAAGCATTCCTTGTAAAGAAAAAATACTCAAGGGAATGACACATGGTCTGAAATGAGAAAACATTGCACCATAGCCGAAAAGCATTCCTTGTAACGAAAAAATACTCAAGGGAATGACCATGGTGTGAAATGGGATAATATTACACAATAGCTAAAAAGCATTAATTCCTATATTAAAGAAAGAAATAATACTCAAAGGAATGACGATGTTCTTAAATGAAAAAAATATTTCCCCATAGATAAATAAGCATTGCCTAGTAAAGTAAGCATTGCTAGTCAGGAAAAAGAAGAAGAAAAAAGACAAAAAACAAAAACAAAAAACAAAAAACAAAAAACAAAAAACAAACAAAAAACAAAAAAAAAACAAAACAAAACAAAAACAAAAACAAAAAAACAAAAAAACAAAAAACAAAAAAAACGGAAACAACATGACTTTGAGTATGTATGAGTTTTCTGTCACCCATCCAGGTACTGACCTCCCGTAACCGGGCTTGACTTACACTCTAGGAATGGCTCAAGTTTTTTCCACTGCACCACGGTTATAAGAGAATTAGCATAACAATAGCCTTGAAAACAATGCATCGAATGGACTAGACTTTTTAACATCAAATTTTCAACCGATTCCGTGCGTGGCAGAGATACAAGGGATTAGCCGATATGGTCTGGGGGCCGGCTGGTCTCTCCCCTGATGCTTCGGCTAGAACATTTTCTTGCGTAATTCGTACACCCAAGGGCAGAAGGATTTAATCGCCGTCAGGTCCGAAGTCCATACGCCGCCTCAGCTCTGCGGATGTCTCGGGGGTATGGCAAAGTAGAGTCGATTTTTTTTCTTTTTCTTTTTTTTTTTTTTCATTTTTGGCGGACGAGGGTTCGTGTCCCACCGCATACACATAGTATTTTTCATTACAATATCTTTTATCTTCTGTTTTTTTTTAATGAATTCAAASACTCAAAATTGGTAGCATATTTTCAGTTATAGAACAACTACTTGATTTCTAGATCGTTGCCTTCACTCCCCGTAAGGGGATCTTCGGTGAGGTCGTCGCTCCAGTGATACGCAATACTAGTACATTCATTTTCTTRAAGCATAATGACATAACACTAAGCTCAGAGAACCCGAAGAAAAACTTTCAACCATTCCCAAGAGAGTGAAATAACAAAAGACACGGCGGCCATGTTGGATGATATAACAAAAGAGAGTAAGACGAATCTTTTGTTAAATTCATCCAACATGGTGGCTGTGAAAACCATCAATTCATAGATCTWTAAGTCCTGCAATCGACCAGGGAGACAGTGAGACCCGTTGCATAATTTCTAATTCCATAGAAAAGTTAGCAAAAGTTTTAACTTCAAAAGTTAATTGTTGTCCCACCTCACGGATGGCAGCTCTCGTAAGACTATACTTGCCTAGTACCTAGTTGGGGTCTCAAGGTATTTTTATASTTTTGAAAATAGGTCACTACAATTTCAGACAAGCCAAAACGCGTTTCACAGCTAGCAAATAAAGACATTGTGAAAGGAAAATATTAAATGAAAAACGCYGACCCTGGACTAAGGACCAGGACTCCTGGCTCCTACGGACTCAATTTACTCGTTTTTGTTGTTGTTGTTGTTTTCCCATTGAAATTTTGCTGAAATTCTGATTGGTTTCGCTTTCGTTGCCATGGCAACCGAAACACAAAACACCAGAGACCTTTATATATGCGGATTTTTTGCTAAAAATGGTTCTTTTTTTCGGGAAAAAAGTATCATATCCCGAAAATAGATAGATTGAAGTGAACTTTAGGATCATAAAATAAATTTACATCACTTTGAGAAATTTTTGGATTTTTTGACCAGAATAACCCCTTAAATTTTTKAATGATGTCCAATAATTGTTCAAGTAGTAACATGATTTTCGTTGATTTTAAGGCTAATTTTCATTGATTATTAGATCATATTTTGATAATTTTGATCATAAAATTTTGAAATCGAAAAAAAAACTTTACAGCTATTGTCAAATTGTCAATTGTCAACTCACAGAAATTCTTGTAAAGCTAACAAGAAATTTTTTAAATTCTAAATCAAACATTTTTACCTTGAAAAATTATGTAAGAAATATAGGTGTTGGAAAAGAACTTGAAGCGAAAAAAAAGCCAAAAATACGAAAATTTCAAGTCAATACAACGACTGAGGAAATGGTGTTAAATAATTTAATTGAACCGGCACAAATTTTTTCTTTTTAAAAAAAAACAGGCTTATTAGATTATTTTATTAAAACTTTGAATCCCAATTTGGTGTTAAGAGAATTTTCAAAAAGAAACGTTAACTTGAAAATAACTTTGAAGTATAATTAAACTTGAAAGTTGATTAGCAAAACTAGTGAACGGTAATTATTAGAACAGTGAGTTGAATTAATAAGGATAATGAATTTGTTAATTTACTAACCTGAACTTGCCAAAATAGCAAGAAGAACCGCAAGAAACAATGTCTTCATTATTTGACTGAAAAAGTGTTCCAATTTTCAAGAGATTGAAACCAGAAATTCTTTCTTTGAGAAGGAGGACAAATTTCCTTGAACTTGAAGAAACTTCGTGTCGTATCTACACATAGATATCGAGGAATGTAAACAGAAACATTTTAAAGTCAATAAAGTTGAAAGGATTTTTTTGTTGTTGCTTGACGTTCTCGAGTGCTCTCCTACGTCTAATTTGCACATGTAAAAGCATATTATCTTGTATATATAGTATAATGGTAGAAAATGGTGTTAAGTCAAAACTAGTTAACAATTTGATATAAACTCGCATGTAAGTAGACATGCGCCTTTTCATTTGTATGTACATTGTTTTCTTAGGGGGGAGAGGAAGGGAAGAGAATAGTAAATTATTTAATAACTAAGAACGTGGAAAAAGTCAAATTTGTTTACTAGTACGTGATATTAGAAGCGAAGTCTATTAAGAGTGTCACTAGCTTGTTTCCATGACAACGACGGAGAAATACGCAGTCCCAGTCCTCCTCCTTGACATTCAGAACATTCTAGACTGAAACATTTWAAAATGCGTACGCATGCAAAAATATTTTCCCGAATGTCTTTTCTCCTAAAATCGTTGAATCATGTTAAATGATATTGCAGACCGTTGATATTTACCTTGGAATAAACTATTTTTAATTGTAAACGCGCGATTACACGGAGCAATTTTCTCTGCAAATTGTCTCGTAACAGCTAGCGTTACGACACAAGTTGCAAGAAAGTTTATACGACAAGGGAGACGCAATCATTGCCAAAAGTAGAAACGAATTCTACATTCTGCAACAACTGCTGCAACTTGTCTCGCAACATATTTTTTCAAATTACGTTGTAGGTTACGCGTCTTAAATGACAAATTCTTATTTGAATAAATTATAAAGACAGCCCAGCATTTATTTCGGTCGTTAATTTTGGAATAGTTTATGAATAGGACGTTTGCCTGATGGCGTCAATGACCTCTACTACCAGACTCCCTTGCACACTTTCTCTTGTTCAGTTAATTAGCACCAATTGTCTTACTATTCTCATGAGGGAATGCAAATTTAAATAAGAACGAAAATCCGCGAAGCATCTTGGTAGTGGGAGTCAAATGACCCCATCATGCAAACGTCCTATTTAAAGGTCAAGTACTTGAGTTTCAGCGTTAACTCATAATTAAATAGCTAAGTTAGAGAACGAATGATATATATATTTCTTTTTATAAATGATAATTACAAAAGTCGATAAACTTTTTCTTTAACGCAGACACGTTTTAGTTAATTGTTGTTTTTACATGTCCGGTAAAGACTCAAATATTGACAGATAGATAGCATATACACATATCTATGAAGCGAAACAAGCTAGAAGGGATGAGTACTTTAAAAGGACTCGATGTTAACATAAAGAACGTATACAGCTATTTCAAAAAAGGTTGAATACTGAATAGTGCATTGCAAGACCAAAGTGCATTGTGGGTCTCGTTAATTTGAAATAAAAAGTAAATATACAGCAATTAACTCTCTACATGTAGTTAGTATATTGTTTCAGATGGAATACACTAAAAATAGAATAGATCATTATTATTAATCCTACTTTAGACATTGTCAYTATGACCCACAATGCCCTTTGGTCTTGKAATGCACTATTCTGTATGCAGTATTCAGTATTCAACCTTTTTTGAAATAGGGATATTCACATTGCGCGATTTTCGTGTTTAAAACACCAAAAGGAAAATAGCAAGTAAAACCAAGCACATTCTACTAGTGAAGACGTTGTTGGTGACAGAACTTGCAGATCCATCAACCCAGCTACAGTCTTCATCATCTTCTCCACTTTGAGGATTTTTTGAAGGATTCAAAGGCTTCTCTGTCTGTTCTTCTGTCGTCTCACGGGGAGAGAGTGAGGTACTCGTTGTTGTCTTGAAAGTCCGTCGTGTCGTTGTGGCTGCTGTCGTAGATGGAGCAGTAGTCGTTGCAAAACCTACTTGAAAATTGCAAAGGTTTGTTTCACAGCATTGCACTCGGCAATATTTTGCTTCTCCACCGGGCACGCTTGCACAGAAGGTGCTGTTTTTGCTGCATAATGCTTCAGACGTGCAACTCTTTGCAAAAATCCGACTTCCATTTTTAAAATAAGAGAATGTAGCACATCTCGTCCAAGAAGAAACTTTACATGGCTGTTTAATTTTATTGTCATCACAGAGCTGAAACGACGACTGACCACCCGGACACATCCAACACTGTAGTGAAGAAACTGTGAATAGATAATGATCCAACGATTAGGTTCATGCACTCTCTGTACTCTCTCATGCACACCAGTGCTAAGTATTTCGTGCGAGCATTCACAGTAAAAATTACAGATTTAAGGATTCGCCGAAAAAGGGAATCAAGCGTGGTATGATTGCGATTTTTTTTTTCTTTCTTGTTATATTTTCATCTTTTTTTTTTCTCGGATTATTATCAGCTATGCCTAGCAAGTCTCATTTTAAAACCGAGGGTAAATAAAGTTTATCTATCTATCTATAGCTAGCTGTTGCACTCACTTGATCGCCTAATAATTATTATTCGTTATTACCTATTAATAGTGGGGAAAAAAAAAAAAAAAAAAAAAAAAAAAAAAAAAGAAAAAAAGAAAAAAAAAATTGTTTTCAATTGAATATTGTTTTCACAGGCTTTTGCTGGAAATTATTTGCCATCTATTATTAACAGCTAAGAATTCCTCACTAAAGAATGAGATCTACAAGATCCTGTTATTTCTTTTCATTGACCTAATTAACAGCATTGCAGATCTTGCACCTTCTATAAAAACATCAAATTAATACTTCAATTAAAAAAACACATGAGTAAATCCTAATTAAAGGAGAAGAATGCATCGATCTATGACAGGTGTTTCTTTTTCAAGTAAGCTGATCAGAAACGAAAATCTTCAAACTTTTAAGCAAATCTTATTTTTCGATTTAAGACAGGGCAGGAATAGCGTAGGGTCATCATACCGGTTTCCATTTCTGGTTTTCTCTTCGGCATAAGCTTCTTCTGGCGATTTGCGACAAAAATAAAAACCAGGCTTTTTCAAGAATTGTGAAAAAAGTTTAAAATGATGTCGCAATCAATGTTTGGTTGTACTTTCGCATCNAAAAAAAAAAAAAAAAAAAAAAAAAAAAAAAAAAACAAGAAAGAAAGAAACAGCTAAAAACCATCTAGACTGCAGGATCTACGTAAATACTTGTATCAAAAACTGTACTCGAGTTAAGTTTGTTACCGACGAATTTTACGCTATTTTGGACCCATACATTCACTGTATAGAAGACAATTGCATGCCGTAGGTTGCCTGTGATTTCTCATGACTACAGACTGAACGGATCAAATGCAAGGAATTCGAAGTTTTTAGTTTTCGCCGATTTTTAAAGTTCATTATCATRATTCATCTCAGCCATTTTTACTGAATTCTTTATAGTTATTTTTGATCACCTGAAGTCATTAGAAAACATGCCTATTGCTCCGTAAACTTTTCAAACAAACGTAATTTCTACAATAATCCCCTTCACAGTTCCCTGCGCCATCTTGAACGATAGCCGTGCCTTTGCATCGAAGCGAGACGAACGTTGAGTTTGCAATGATAGAGACCTTATTTTTAACACCTTGGAAAATTATTCACAGGTCTCTATCATTGCAACCTCACCGTTCGTCTCGCTTGGATGCCAAGGCACGACTACCTTTCAAGATGGCGCAGGGAACTGTGARGGAGACTWTTCCTCTTTTTCCAAAGAAGTACTGAACCAGGTCGACTCTATTTGTATACTAGCTATTTCACGGTATGAGGAAAATCATTCTTCCGTACAGCAACTTCAAAATGTTCACTCCATAGGTCTATAAACTACGGTTCATGTCGTATTGAATCTGTGACGTCTGATATCATGGTAAAGAACGAAACATACTTACCCAGAACTGCAGACGAAATAAGAACAACAACTCCAAGAAAGCCCTTCATTTTCCAACTGAAAATATTTCTGTTAAATTCAACAAAAAATTAAGATTTGTTTTTCGAGCTTCGCTGAGCTTAATGCGGTTCTTTATGATCTTACAAAGTACGTGTTCTGTTTTTGTGCAGATATAATGGAATGTAAATAGAATCTTCCTGAGTCACAAGTGTTGGCAAAAAGAGAGCAAACATGCATATGGGATATGTTAGGACTTATAATTCACGTGAAAAAAAGGCATAATACATGGTTATTAGACGCTAATTCTATTACTTTTTAGTTTTGTCTTACTTTAACTAAGTAATATA